ACCGCTTTCTAGCTTCAGATTGGATTTCGGGAGGGAGTACTCCACTCACAAGATAATTCACATAGTCTGCATACCATGGGGGAGGGTCTTGGGTTATAGCAAAAAGTTGTTCATCAGGAAACACCTCTTTAATTTGGCCACCCTCCTCCATGTGATCGTGATTTTCCAACCTTGATAGATGGTCAGCTACTTGGTTTTCTGTCCCCTTTCGATCTCGTATTTCTACATCAAATTCCTGCAGCAACAAAACCCAGCGCATCAAACGAGCTTTGGATTCCTTTTTTGTAAACAAGTACCTGATCGCTGCATGATCCGTATGGACTATGACTTTCGTTCCCACCAAGTATGCCCGGAATTTCTCAAAGGCCCACACAACGGCTAACAACTCCTTCTCAGTGGTGGTGTAATTCAGTTGTGCATCATCAAGAGTCTTACTCGCATAGTAGATGGAATAAAACATCTTGTCCTTCCTCTGGCCTAGCACTGCCCCAATAGCAAGGTCACTCGCATCACACATAAGTTCAAATGGTAGAGACCAATCAGGTGCCACAATAATGGGAGCAGTCACCAACTTCTTTTTAAGTTCCTCAAATGCGTTGAGGCAAGCATCATCAAAATTGAAAGTGACATCTTTTTCAAGCAGCCTGCACAAAGGAGTAGCAATTTTTGAAAAATCTTTAATAAAGCGCCGATAGAAACCCGCATGTCCCAAGAAACTACGGACACCCTTCACTGAGATAGGTGGAGGTAATTTTGCAACCGCCTCCACCTTCGCTTTATCAACTTCAATGCCGCTCCTAGATACTCTGTGACCCAGCACGATGCCTTCTTGTACCATAAAATGACACTTTTCCCAATTTAATACCAGATTTGTTTCTTCACAACGGGCCAGCACCTTGCTTAAATTCCTCAAGCAATCATCATAAGAAGACCCAAAAACTGAAAAATCATCCATAAACACTTCCACGAAATCCACCATGTCGGTGAAAATAGCCATCATGCATCTCTGGAATGTGGCTGGTGCATTACAAAGACCAAATGGCATTCGCTTGAAGGCAAAAGTGCCATAAGGACAAGTAAAAGTAGTCTTCTCCTGATCCTCTGGGCATATGACAATCTGATTGTATCCTGAATAACCATCAAGGAAGCAGTAATATTCATGCCCGGCTAACCTGTCTAGCATTTGATCGATGAATGGGAGTGGGAAGTGATCCTTGCGAGTTGCCTTATTGAGCCTTCTATAATCAATGCAGACTCTCCAGCCCGTAACAGTGCGAGTGGGGATTAGCTCATTCTTCTCGTTCTCAACTACAGTCATTCCTCCCTTTTTGGGCCACACATTGAACCGGGCTTACCCAGTTGCTATCAGAAATAGGAAAAATGATACCTGCATCGAGCAACTTGATTACTTCCTTTTTCACCACCTCTTTCATAATGGGATTTAATCTCCTTTGTTGTTCTACACTGGGGCGGTATCCATCCTCTAGAAAGATTTTATGCATGCAAAATGATGGACTAATGCCCTTGATGTCAGCTGTAGTCCACCCAATGGCCTTTTTATGCTCGCGGAGGACTCTGAGCAATTTTTCTTCTTGAGTGCTGGTCAAGCTGGATGAAATAATCACGGGCAGTGTCTCTGAGTTCCCCAAATAAGCATAGCGCAGATGCGCTGGAAGTGGCTTGAGTTCTAGCTTCGGAGCTTCTTCAATAGATGGCCTGGGGAGGGTCAGAGTGACAGGCCTGTCCAGCTCTTCAAATTTTCTAACCCCATGTACATAACTGCATGACATATCCAACACTTGCTCAATTTCTCCCATCCTTTCATCTTCACTATTTTCTACGTCCCCAATCAATACTCGTTCAACAGGATCTGCAGGGCTCATATAGGGTACTAACGATGTGGCATCACCTTCCACCACAAAGATCATGGATAACTCTTCATAATGGGCTGGTAACTTGAGTGCTCTATAAACATTGAAGACCTCCACTCGGTCACCCACTCTCATCGTCATCTTTCCTTCACAAACATCAATAATAGCTTGGCCCGTGGCTAAGAATGGGCGCCCCAAAATAAATGGGACTTCCTGATCAGGCTCGTAATCCAGGATGATGAAATCAGCTGGGAATATGAAAGACCCTACTTGAACTAGCACATCTTCACTCACTCCCTCAGGATGGGCAAGGGAGCGGTCAGCTAACTGTAAGATAACTGTTGTTGGGCGTGGTTCACCCAACCCCAACTGTCTGAATATAGATAGCGGCATCAAATTGATGTTTGCTCCAAGGTCACATAGAGCTCGCCCAACAGCATGTTTACCAATCGTGATTTGGATAGTGAAACTACCTGGATCCTTCAATTTCTGAGGTAACTTGCCTTGAATTCTGGAACTGCACTCCTCGGTGAGTGCCACAGTCTCGAACTCGGTCAGCCTCCTTTTATTCGCCACAATGTCCTTGATGTACTTTGCATATTTGGGTACTTCTTGTAAGATGTCAACCAATGGAATATTTATTTGTGCCTGCTTCAAGATATCAAGAAACTTTTTATATGTGGCATTATCTTGTAATTTCTGCAGTCTTTGAGGGAATGGAGGTGGTGTCCTTGCAACCAATTGTGGGGATTGCTCAGCCACCGCCTCTCCAGCTGGCTTCTCTGGCTCCTTGGCTTTCTCTGATGTTGATTCTACAACAACTGGCATCTCATTAAAAGTCACCTGTTTCTTCTTTTTAGATAGAACTTCCTCTAGTTGTCTCCCATTCCTCAACGATACGGCATTAAGGGCGCCCTAGGATTGGCTTCAGTGTCACTTGGAAGTGCTCCAGCTGGTCTAGTGTTTTGAGCACTAGCAAGCTGTCCCATTTGACGCTCCAAATTTCTCACTGTTGTGGCGAGGGCTTGTTGTTCAGCCATCATCTTTTTAAACATGTCTTCAAGATGACTTGTAGGACTCGCTTGTTGTTCGACCTGAGGTGGTCTATATTGTTGTTGAGGTGCTTGAGGCCTGTATTGATTCTGAGTGCCCTGGTTTCCACCCCAAGAGAAGTTTGGGTGGTTCCTCCAGTTGGGATTGTAAGTGTTCCCATATTGGTTTGTTTGGCCCCTATTTGAATTACCTACAAAGCAGACAGACTCTGGGTTTTCGGGGCATATGTCGCTTGTGTGCCCCTCTCCACATATTTCACAAAAAGCTTGAACCTGTTGTACCGGTTGTATTTGTTGCTTGTTGATACTCAAGTTCATCTGGTTGACTTGATTGGCCAGTGTAGCAATCTGCGCTGATAATGCTGAGATGACATCTAACTCAAGAACCCCTACAGACTTTTGCACTGTGTGTTTGCCCATCTCTCCTTGCCAATCCGGATTGCTCTTAGAAAATTTGTTCAACAATGCATATATCTCGTCAAAGATTTTCTCCAACACTTGACCCCCAGCTGCAGCATCTACCACAATCTTAGTTTCAGAATGTAGCCCTTCTATGAAAGTGTGAGCTAACACTTCATTCGTCTGATTGTGATGAGGACAGTCTCTGAGTAGCCCCTTGAACCTTTCCCAAGCTGAGTACAAAGATTCTCCTGCTTTCTATTTGAAGGCCACTATTTCACTTCTGATCTTTGCAGTTTTTCCTGAAGGAAAGAACCTTGCCAGAAAATTTCTTGCCAAATCATTCCATGATGTAATGGAGTTAGCTGGTTCTGCATTTAGCCATCGCTTAGCATCACCCAACAGAGAGAATGCAAAAAGTGTGAGCCTCACATAATCTGGAGTGACCCCGTTAGTGATATAAGTATTACTAATATCCAAGAAGTTCAGAATATGCTGTTGCGGATCCTCATGTGGAAGACCCATAAATTGCCCATTTGCATGAAGCAGCTGGATCATGCTCTGTTTCAGCTCAAAGTGCCCAGTGATCCTCGGCTTCACTATACTGGAGGTGACATTAGCAATGCTGGGCATTGCCACCTCCTGAACAGCCATGGGTTGCTCCTCTGCCATGTCTACGGGAAATTGAACAAGTGCCTGAATATTATTCGTGTCCCTTGCTTCCCTCAACCTCCTGTGAAACGTTCTCTCAGGTTCGGGAATAAAGCCTTGAAGTCGGTCCTGGCTTCTGCCCTACGCATTCAATCAAAATTCCTGAGATCTGAGCAACAATCAAGTAACGTTAGACTAGACAAAATAAGCAATTAAAGCAAAAACTAGCAAGTAGCTGATATTCAAGTCCCCGGCAACGGCGCCAAAAACTTGTTGCTCCCGAACGCACACGCAAATATACGTGGTCGACAAGTAATATAATGATAAGTTGAGTGTCGAACCCACAGAGACTTTGTAAACTACTCACTAAATCACTAAAATTGTTATTCAATCTAGCTAAAAGCAAAGTCCAATAATATGATTATACTATACTACAATTCTAAATAATAACTAAATTATCAAGTAACGAATTGATTGTTGTGTGTTCAGCAGAGATAAGTATTCCAGGGTTGTGATCGATTCACCATTCGTATTGTGTTCTAATTAACTCTCCCCTTCATATAATTCACCCATGGTTGCTAATTAATCGATAAATGCTCTCATAGCCTTCTCCCGAAGTACTACTCACCTATTCTCAGTAGCTTAATGCCTATATTCCTATGAAATCAATCTATTAAGAACGCATTAAGATTACGATATTTAATTAAGCACGGTGACTAGGTATATTCCTATCCTAACCATAAATCCGCTCCCCCTAAGGGTTAAGATCATGCTCTCTTCAATTCTTCTCTAATCTAAACATGGCTTTCCCAAGCATAGCATAGATAGTAAATAGAACCTAACTGTTGGCCAGACAATTAAGCAATTAAACAGAGAATTGAAGAAACAACCATATGTTGGTGAATTATAATCAAGGTTAAGTTAATATCAAAAAACAATATTCATGGCTAAATCACACCCCCAGAACAATGGGTGTTTAGCCACTCATACTAGTGTTCATCACAATAAGGTTCAATTTCATCACAATTAGCAAAAACCAAGGGAAGAAAAGAAGAACTTGATGATCAAAATCTCTGCCTTGCCTCTTGCCTCTCTATTCCTTCACTAGACTATGAAAACCTTGATAAATAATCCTTGGGTGAGCTTGACTTTATATAGGTTAAGTGGGGTTTCCTCCAGATTTCCAATTATACCCCTGACAAACGATTTTTGAAATTTGGACTAGCGCGGTCGCGCATATGGGCGCGCATCTGACCGCGCTAGTTGGCAGATGTTCTGTTCAGGGCGCGCTAAAATTAGCGCGGGCGTGCATCTGGGCGCCCTAGCCCAGTACTTTGTTTCCTCACTTCTTTTTCTCGTCTTCAAGTGTACTCATCTCCGAAGGGTCTTTCTTGCTCCAAAATAGTTCCAATAACAACTTTAAGGCATCACGTAGGCTCCTTATCCTGCAATGTATACAATTCACAATTAGAGCCCATTTTTAATCAATTAACCATATTATGACACTGGAATTTAACTATGCTGGAGCATAAACGATCGCCAAATTACCTATTTTTAGCCTATTATCAGTCCGCCAACAGGATGATAGCATCATCTGCTCTAGGGATCATCCTCCTCCTCTTCGGAGGCCTCTGGGTCTGCTCTGGTTGTGAATGAGCTGCTGGGACTGGATCATCAAGCAACAGGTCCAAAGGCAGCTAGCCTGCCTTCAGTCTATCAACATCTGCCCGCAGCTCCTTCACGGACTCCTTGGAGGCCTATGTTTTCCGTAGCTTCCTATGCTCCTTAGCAAGCTCCTTGAGGGCCTTGCTATGTGAATCCACTGCCATTGTGAGCGCAGCCTGAGTGCCGAGGATCTTCTTCTGGTTCTCAAGTATCTCTTTGAGCGCATCCTCGATTGACTAAGGTACCTGTGGGGCTGGGGGAGCTGACTGAGCTGCTACAGTAGTAGTCAATGTGGACAACTTGGATGAGGCAGTCTGCATCCAGTTGTTTATACTTATCAGGGCCTGGCTCAGTCGGTGGGCAGTGATGGGATGGGCCCGGCTAGATGGGATCTCCGGGCCTGCTGATATGGAAGGGCCAGGAGGAATGGCTGAAGATGCAGAAGGTCCGGGAGGCATATCAACAGCAATGGAAGTAGCTCGGCAGAGACCTCTACCACAATTGGCTCTTCAAACTGGCCAATTGGGGCAGAAGTAGGGGCTTTGTAGTTCTTGTCCTTGGGGTTGTCATTCCCCTTCAAGCCATACTAGGAGAATGGGGCTGTCGCCTTGACCTTGACGTCGTAGAGCTTCTTGTCCACCTTCAGGTCTCGAAATTACATGGTGAGAGTTTTAGGAAAAGGGTAGTTCCGATCATGCTCCACTCACACTAACGAGATAATACGGGACATCACATTCCCCATATTTATGGGGTATCCCGCCATAATCAAAGCAACCAAAATAGCCCGGTGGAGAGGAAGGGTCTGGTCATGTGTAGTAGGATCCAACCGGCTGCAAACAAATGTCTCTCAACCCCTCGCCTCAAAGTTCAGGGTCCTCCGCAATATTTTGACCCCAGCAGTCAACCAATCAGGAACGGTACCTGGGATTGCCAGGTACTGAGCTAACCATGGACGGACCTCCTCGCCCATCTCCAACTTCGCCATGTACAAAGCTTCATCCTTCTCATTGAAACCCAAGTATTCGTTGAGGTATTTCCCATCAAACAACACTGTCTTGTTGCGCACCTTGGTCACTTTGGAGCCCTTTTTGATGTGGGCTACATTGCAATAGAACTCTTTGACCATGTGTTCATTGGTGTCCACACAGTCATCTAAAATGTACTCCCAACCCACTCTAGTTATGAACTGTCTCTGCACGTCAGGGTTGTGGGGTAATAGATCTCTGTCAATGAAACTTCGCTCCGATATCAACTTTTTCACCGGCCACCACTCCCTAAACTTATGGTACGCCACCTGGCTCACAAACCTGTCCTCCCAAACATCGGGCCTTCTAGTTCGGGCAATGCCTCCCACTTGAGGCTCACCACCTTCATCTATCTCCCCATCCCCTTGTACCTCCTCCGCACCTCCGTCTACACCCTCCCCGGATAATGAAGCTGTGGGAGAGGTGGAGTAATCACCACTGCCGGCTGCTAAGCCCTCATACGACTCAGTGGGAATATGCTCTGGTGCTTGGGCAGTGGGTGATGGTGGAGGGGTATCTCTTAGCCTGAATCTCTCCGGCCAGTCTTCAACATATTCTGGCACGGAGTCTGAAGAGATTTCCCTTGATGGTTGATACTCACTCCCCGAGGAATGGGAAGCAGCTCTGTCTGCAGCTTTGATTATTTCTGGTCTTTTTTATGTTCTCCTGAGCTTGGGGAGTGAGTTTTACCAACTTCTTCTTCCCTCCCTGGGAGGGTTCTCCTTTTTCCGGTTGTTTTGAGCCTTTTCCTTGTTGTCTCACCATTGTCTGCAAACACAATTCAAATAACTTGTTAGTATCAATGGGTTCACATAAAACAGTGTTGCAGACAAATGAAAATGTTGCAGGAGTTGCCTAGTGCGGACCGCACAAAATGGTAGTGCGGCCGCACTGAGGCTACCACGGACCGCACAAGAATGACTGCGGTCCGCACAAGTATAGGGTTCCAAAAACAAGGCCTCTGAATCTCACCAGTGCGGGCCGCACAAAACCAACCGCGGTCGCACTGGGCCAGTGCGAACTGCACAAAATGTAG